TGATGAAGAAACATCATGATCTTGTAAAATTTCCGACAATTGTTCTCAATTCTTAGGCTGTACCAAAGGAGTGAGATCTCCAATACACATGGAAATCACCTATCGTAAAGCAGGGCTTGACTGTCAATTCCTTCATGGTTCGACTATGATACCAAAAGAATATGATATCAGAAAAATTTATAACCAATTTGAAGAATTAATTGAGGGTTACCATGAGATTTAAATGCGATTAAAATTGAATTAGAGCTCAGATTAAAGCTCAATTTAATTATACGCTTAATAAAGGGGTTGATTGGTCAAATCCTCTCTGATATCATGCTTTTTTCCCCTAGCATAGATTTTTTCCTCCATTTGATTCCCACTGGATTCTTTAGTAGATTTGTTCCCACAAATTATGTCAAGCAGAATGGCGGAAAGTGCGAATTAATCACTCAAGCCAGCCACAATCAGTGCCCTGCACATTGCCCATCTTGACTCTTAGCTTGGCTTCCACCCAATTATGTTCAAATAGTCTAAATCAAAGTATTGCGTTGCAATGCTGTCAGTATGGACTAGATCAATCGGAACCTAAAGTCTTTGGTAGGGATGCATTTGTGATAGATGACAGATGGGATGGCTTGATTTCTTTCCTGGCTTGCACCGCCCAACCTCCTCCTAATTCTGAGTATTTCTGTGAATCCAAGCACTCATAAACTTATGAATTCAATTCATCTTGCCATGTCATTACATTGACCCTCGGGTTGCTACAAACAAAATGTGTAACACAGGCTATAAAAATTAATATTTAAAAGAAAATACACCATATGCTGGTACAGTGATACATCTAATAAGTGGGGTCCGAGTATGATTCTAGAAAGACATAAAATTAGAAAAATTTAGTTATAAGCAATCAATTGGTATCATAAATTGATAATTCAATTAAGTGGTATTTATCAAAATTTATAGGGGTCTTTCATTGGTCAAAACTTTTATCATATTATGTATTTTCGATATCATAAATTTTCTCTTGGGTTGAGTTTGGAAGGAGTACAAATGCAATAAGTACAGTGTAAATGCATATAAAATAGTATAAAATATAAGGTTTTGCACTCTACATATTTGTATTTGTACTCCTTCTAAATTCAGCCTTACGGCTGCATTTGGAATTGGTGTAAAAGTTTACACCGATTTGATTTTGTCTACTTTTGGAAGGAGAGTGTAATCATGATCGACGTAAAACTCCACTCCAGTTCAATTTTGCATATGTTTGGATGGAGTAGAGTTTTATGTCGATAATCGATATAAAACTTATCAAATATAAAGTTTTACATTGATTATGGATATAAATACTACATTGATTTTATCGATATAAAATTTTAGACTCTTCACTCATCGCATTTTTCAAAAAGCAACGATCACTTTTACAACGTTTTACACTGATTCCAAACACAGCCTAATAAGTATTTATTCAGACTGATGATAATAGCGATGTGGCCCATGTTAGATTTGGAGTCCATTTCCTTCACGAGTGAATCTCATAAACATAATCTTTTGTGCTAAGTTGTACACTAACAAATGAGAGTTCATCAAAATTCAGGATGGTGGTTTTGATGGGTTAAAATTCCCAAAGGTGAAAATGGGGAAGGTCTAACTTTTGAGAAGTCTGACCAATCAAAACCACCCCCGTGCCCCTCCAAATGTGGGAAGAGAGCGATAGGTCAGAAAACCATTCATCAATTACCTAAAGAAGCGAAAGTACATCCATTAAAAAAATGTGTCTGTATATTGTTTATTTTTTCTTTAATCAAGCAAGAATGAGCTAAAATTGCACCTTTCTTTTTCAATTAAACATTATGATTTGAAGTCATATTTTCTGTAGTTTCCCTATAGCCTATAACTAGGACTGTTAAAAGACCGAATATTGATCCAACCCAATCTGGTCCAATGAGTCCATTTCAGATGGACCTGGTCCAATCAAATCCTATGAATAATTTGAACCATTCTGGACTGGTCCAATTCAATGTCTGGACCATCTAATCCTTCAAATTGGTTTTAATTTAGATTGGGTCCAATAAAATTCTGGTCTATTGACACCCATATTCTTATTTTCTGACAATGGACTAAATATTGGTTCAATCTGTCCCAGTCCAATATAAGACCATTAAGTTTGGATTAATCCAGTTCAATATTTCTTAGTGGCCTATATACCCATTCAAATTTATTTTGATTTTACGGATCCAACCCAAACCAGGTCCATTGACACCCCTATCTATAGCCTTGCATTTAGGAGTTTATCATGTGCTGGTCTTCTATTTACCATTAAGAAGGTTATTCCTTGGATTACATTTATTGCATGTAGGATGAAAATGATTTTTTTAACCTCGCCCCCCTCCCCCCGAAAAAAAAAACACTGATTATGTAGGTCACAATTCTATTTTTTTTGTCTTGTTGACAGCTAAACAATTGTTTTTAGTTGCAGAAACCTGCTTAAATATTTGATTAGGTTGGGTTTGGATAAGCTTCAGGTTTTGTGTTTTAACAAGACTTTGTAATCTGGGACTCAAAAGCGTTTTAACTATAGATTATAATGTTTTAATAAACTTAATTCTTACCAAACACTCGAAAAAACACTTTTTTTTGCTCAATTTTCCTTTCCATAGCCCATAGCCCAAAGCTCAAAAGCAAAAACTTATCCAAATATTATGTTCTCAACGTTGTGGAATCCTGTAAGAAATGGATGCAAGATTATTTTGACAGTGCTATCATTGTGTTAGGTTGCTTAACCTCATTTACATTTTCAGGCTCAAAGGAATGTCTCAAAGCCTTGTATAGCTTTTCTTTTATGCCACCAGAATTATAGATGCCATTGGAGATCTGTCAATTGCTTTTGAAAAAAAAAAGGATAAATGGACTGCAATTTACTTCAGAAATCTGAATTGCAGCCCCTCCTAGTCTACTAGTAGCCCCCTATAAACTACATTTTGCCCATGGATTTAGTATCAATACACGCCAGGATTCAATCCACCCCTAGAAATCTTAACTCCACCCTTGGGGTTATTTATTGTCTATGATTTAACTTGGAATCCCAGGGGATGCTAAAGAGAGAGATCGCTAATTTTTCAATATGACATGACATAATCAGGTGTGTTTTCAAATGACTGAAAGAAGAGACTACTTTTATCTATTTATTTATTCGCCTTCTTCTAAGGCTTTGTTTGGTTTGTGGGAAGATTTGGGTGAGATGTGAAAAGATGGGATGGAAAACTGTAAAAATTTAATTTTTCATTGTTTGGTTTTATTGGGATGGAATGGGATGGGAAAGTGTAAAAGGGGGCCGAAGTATTAGAGGGAATCGACCGTTCATTCTCGTCGCCGTTCGAACCAGAGGAGCGGCAGCAATCTCTCTCCCTCTCTCCCTCCATTCTTTCTTTTATTTTCTATTTCTCCTCCCTCATCTAACTTCATGCCACATTCGCCGTCCCTATTTCTTCCTCCCTTTTCTGTAGCTCTTAGCAGCGGCAGCCTTATTTCTTCCTCCCTAATCACTGTCGCTGCAACTCTTAGCAGCGGTAGCCTTATTTCTTCCTCCCTGATCGCTGCCGCTGCAACTCTTAGCAACGGTGGCCTTATCCCGTTCATCGTTAGCCTCACCCGTACAGTGAAGATTGTTAGCCTTATCCAGTTCATCATTAGCCCTGCGAAACTAGTGAAGCTCGAATGGACGAGGCATGTGAAACCAATAAAGCTCAAAGCTCGAAACCAACTGAGTTGGCACTATTCACCTTCCTTGTTCGTTCGAGATGAACAGAGGTGAGTCAGGTGACGGCTACCCCCTTCATATCCCACCTCTCCCACTCTCTTTCTCCTCTCTTCTTCTTCTTCTTCTTGTTTCAATCTCTCTGTTTATTCTCGATTGCCATTGTAACTTGTATGGTTGTTCTCTTCTAACTTTGTTGTAACTTGTTCAGTCATCGTCGCTGCCGCCTTCGGCTCGTGCTCTTCTAAATTTGATGACGACGACCCCTCCGGCATGGTTGTGCTTTGACATCGCTACCACATTATAGGAGGAGGAAGGGAGGAGAGAGATCATAACTCAAATTTGCTTGAGTTTTTCCACCGGAGTCGCACTGTTTTGATGCAACCCCGAATCCATGATTTTGAAATCTCTCATCCCACCTTTTTCTCATCCCATCCCCTCTTTCCCTTAAAATAAATATGAAAAAAGACAATATTTTTGAAATATTCCATTTTTTTCATCCCCATCCCACAAACCAAACGGAGCCTAAGAAAAGAATGTGGATATCCATCTTATTATTGATTGTTGCTACTTTGAGAAGGCTAAAAATCAGAAGTATTTATGCAGGAGTGCTCACGTCTGGCACAAGTCTGGCACTGAAGAGCATTAATGCTGTCTTAAGTAGAAAAAATCGACCAAAGGTTCAAAATCAAGCCAAAACAAATTATTCAACCGAAATAACATCAGACCTAACACTAGAAAGACCTCAATATCAAGCCAAAGCCAACTATTTCAATCTAGATAACACCATACCCATTACCCATTTGTTGTCATCAACTAACAAATTGAAAAACCCTCTTTCCCTGCACCCAAAAAACATTCGTAAAAACCAATCCAAACAGACCTATAAAAGCTAAGCCCAAACCCGGCCCATGCTCATGAACAGGTCTAATTGCAGCCTTACAGGTCATTGTCCATACAAAATCATGGTCTAGGCTTATTTTCCAATCTAATGGGGAAATGAAACTAAAAAGCACCAAAAAACCTCATACCTTGAATTCCTTGTTCAAAGAATATATCCTCCACTCCCTAAATAAGTCATAAGTAGCATTTCTGACTTTGTTCACGCTTTTATATGTTTTAGTCATTTAATGATCTCCTAAATAAGGTTGCTTTGGATTAATTAATCCAAATTGCTGTTTTTAATTACCTGACATTTCAACTATAAACATCAATGATCAGTCCTACACATGCATTTTTTCCAACCGAAGTGAAGTGATTCTCAGTATTTACATAAAAAAAAAGAAGACTTGATGCAAAAATGCATATTTCTTATCAATTTGTTAAGAGAAAAACAGAAAAAGATGAAATCAAGTTCAGTAATTGCCACTATTTGAGCCAATTACTTTGCTTTGTGAGATGACCTACGCTCCTTCTCCATCTTTTCAAAGAGACTCCCATCATAAGCAGATCTAATGGTCTCTTTATGCAAGAAGCCATCCTTGTCCTTACACAGGTAATATAATATCGTCCACTCTCCCCAGGCTGCAAGCCTACAATCATTTTCATCATTTTCACCTTGTTAGATAATCTACTTCTTGTGAAGGCTACATAGCTTTTGATTAACTTGACAAACTGACCATCCATAGTAGTTTTTGGGAATCCGGTTGGACTTCAGCATTTGTGACAATTCCTTTGATGTTAAAGCGTTTGAACTAGAAGGAGCATGCTTGTGAAAGATCTCTTCAAACTTTGCTGGCACAAACCTACAAGAGTTGAAATTCACATCAAGGAAACAAATATAAAGAATACAAACTGTGATGTATTAGTGCAACTTGTGGAGCATGTTTGATATTTAGAAGATGCTTCTTAAATTGGACAATAGAAAGTATCAAACCATACCATTGACTAGATTCTTTGAAGTAGAGTAGACATTCTCATAAAAACAAATAAAGTGAATTAGTGTTATTACCCAATATTGGTACACACTGTCTAAGAGAGGCATGGACTGGATATGGAAACAACACAAAGTGGCCACTCTCTGACAAGGTTCAAAATATCGATACGCTCAATACGCCGGTAGGGTCGGTTTAAGGCGCTCCTCTACCCCCTGAACCGGTCAGAACCCCTGTAGGGGTGTATCGGGGAGCTCCCAAAATGATACGTATCAGCCGGTATCAGCCGGTATCAGCTGATATGTGCCAATACTTTGAACCTTGCCAACTAGAAACTGCATTATCACATTTATCAACCTGAGGTTTTTCTGTTGCACCAAGCAATAGCCCCTTTATGTTACTGCGGCCTGGTGTTTATGATGATCCAGGGCCTTAAAAGGTTGTGTGAGGCCCAAGTGGGCTAAGCCCTTAATGCTCAACCTTATGGGTCATGTTTCATGCAACTCAACTCAGGTTGGCCCAGGTTAGCATTTTACAAGGCCTAAAAGCACATTTAAATTTTGACAAAAGCCCAACCCCAGTCTGCCCATGTTGCACCCCTACCTTTATTGCAAAATATCATTCTCCAGTACATAAATAAGAAAATCAGAAGTGGACAAAGTAATGGGTCTAAAGAGAGTACGTCCGTACGAACAAATTTTGAAAAAACATGAGCTACTCAATCTTCCGCAATCACTTGCAACTAATTTATGAAGTCGCCATGAAACCTTAAGACTTGGGTTCAAGAGAACTTGTAGAACTGACTGACTGTGCGTCTCCTTCAAGACAGACAAAAAGAGGGAATATCTAAGGATTTGGCTAGGAGAAGGCCTTCCGAATAGCTGCAGCTGCAGCCTCAGTCACCTCCAATTGCCCCTACCTTCAGTGTTTAGAAAAATGCTAGTATAACCACATGTTTATGCAATTATAGCATTCTTTGCCATACAAACATGATGGGGCCCACGAACATACACACTATACAACAAAGTTGGACATGTGGCAAATAGAAAGAATAGTTGCATAAACTCAAGTGGAGCCCTTTTGGCCCCATACCATGTTGCCACATGGAACATCCCTGGTCCAATTAGAACTCTCTAAATGACTTGACTAGCTAGTCCATGTTTATTATGCATATTCAACTAATCTACTATAAACTCCTCTTGATGCGTTTTATTTAAGAGCTTCTCTAATGGGCAGTGAAGGGTTCTTCTGATCCTAAATGCATTGCAAGAGCTTCTCTAACTTCATTGTTTAATTTTTTTTTTCTTTTGTTGGAACTGATGTTGTGACTTTTCTCACCTTCTGGTGAAAATTGATTATTGCATATTGTTAGTGGTGTTAGTGAAGGGGTATTTYAGTCTTTGTACTTGTTGAGAGTGTTGATGTGTACTGTTATGTTAGTTCGAGTGCCTCTTACTTAAAGAAGGGTACTCAAGTCTTTTCTAATAAGTTAATAATATAATAACAGGTCTGGCCGAATATAGGGATAACTTTTTTCTCTAATTCGAACCAGCCTTTCTCTCTTTCCTCTCTTTTCTCTCTTCTTCTTTCCTCTCCTACTTCTTGCTGTTTACTTTACTTTACAGTCAACGAACAAGACAGAATTCTAGGGCAGGTCAAACTTCAACACATATTAACTTTGATTTTGTTAAAGAAAATCATTTACATATTTAACCAAAATAAAAGGTGTGAATTGGCAATATAGGAAAATATGCATCAAACAAGAACATTTTGAGAGTTTGGAAGAATGCTAGGAGAAGCTCAGCTGCATATGCAACACCCAACAGATACAATTGCGCCCAAAAAAGCATGCCTTTTTATGGGCTTCAACTTTGTCTGAATAGAGTGTTGCATATACAACTAGCTCCGGCAGAGATGCTAATATATGGCTGGAACATTTCTGTACAGTTTCATTTTGCATTCTCAATATCAAACAAGACAATGGCATTGAGAAAATGAGAGAAATACCTTCCTTCGGTATCATAGACTCCAGAATCGCTCCCATGCTTTGTTCTATGTATGTTTCTTATTTCAATAGGGAACAGAAGAGAAGGGAACTTCCCCTGCTTCATTGAGAACCACCATCAAACAGATTAGTTTTGTTGGTAAACGATAGAACGAGTCTTCTTAAAACAGACAAGCTTGAAATTCATTCATTGTTTGTTTCTTCTAAACATGGAGAAATAATAACATTGTTATGGGTCATATAGGGTTTTATTAGCATAACCAATAATTGTCATAATCATGTTGGAGAAACAAATATTTATGATATATTAAATTTTGATATCAATTAATCATGTTTTTTTTTTATTTTTTATAAGAAGCAAGAAATCAAAAACAAAAAGAAGAAGAGGCTACACACATCTCCAAATGTCAGCACAAGAAATACATTTTAAAGAAAAAAGAAAAAGAAGCAAGAGAAGAAAGGTTGAAATGAACACACTTAATAAGCCAATCAGCCACCCGATTGGTCTACTTTAACTTTCATTGATTTACATTTTATATTACTAACTTTTTTGTTGATTTACCTTTTGCATGGTTTACTTATCAATCACATTAAAGTATCAAAGATGTTAAAGCACGTTTTTCATTGATTCACCATGGCATTTTCCGATTCTGTATTGTTGTAGTGCTGTACATATTATTCTTGAATATTTATGTTGTATTGTTACAACATTGGTGTATAATACCAATCTCGGCCATGGGATCTCTTATAAGCAAAAACTCTGCACACATTGCAAGAATAGGCATATATTGAACATTGAGAACTTTATGAATTTATAACATACATGCCCCATGCACGCAGTTTTTACTTGCATGAGATAGGTTTTTAATCATGATCTTCGACGTAATTGTACGTGGAAATTAAAAAGTCTATGATGCTGCAAAGACATGATATCTGAAAAGTTCTAATCGAAAGCACATGTTATTATTATTATTATTATTATTATTATTATTATTTTATGATTAATTATAAGGCCCGTTTGGTTAGCAAGAATTGGGGTCTGGACTCTGGCCCGTTCCAGTTCCAACTGTTTGGTAACGGAATGATATTCCCCATTTGAGGGAATGACCATTCTCTCTCCCTCTCTTCGGAATTAAATCCTATTCCAATTGATTCTTCCTCCTCTCTTAGGAATGAAATCTCATTCCAGTTGATTCCAATTTTCATTTTGATTCCTACCTGAACCAAATAGATTATGATTAGTCAAATGGACCCTTTAAGTTTTTCTGATATCAGTGTTTCCAGCATTATAGTTGCTGTGTCTAGGAGTGTCAATGGACTGGTTTTGGATTGAACCCCATCCAAATCAAAATCAATTTGGACAGACTGGATAAACCAACAAGACATTAAATTGGATCAGTCCAGACTTAATAGTCCAAAGCAAGGTTCAAAATTTCGATACATATCGGGCCATCAGGGGCTTCCCAATACGCCCCTAAAAAAGTGCTTCAGGGTCTCAACTGGTTCAGAGAATGGACAAACCTTAAACCAACCCCTCTGAACCAGATTTGAGAAAAAACTAAAAAAAAATAAAAAAAACAGTGGCCGATACACTTTGATATACCGGTATGGATATTTTTGATTGGATTGAACCAATATCTTGATAGAAGATAAAAGTATAGGTGTCAATGGACCAGGTTTAGGTTAGATTCCATCTAAATGGCCCACATATTGAATTGGACCCGTTCAAAATGTTCTTTGATTAGATTGAATTGGACCTGATCTAGTGGACTGACATTGGACTGGATCGGATGGGAAGAAATCAGTCTAATTGACACCCTTAGCTGTGTCGAACTGTCGATGAACCCACGTAACGAATTTACCTCCGGAACGTTTGGTGTCAAGATTTCAAACACGTGGCATAAAAGGTCAGTTTGGTCAACAATGACTTCAATGTTAAATGCTTACTACCCACACGACCGAAATACCCACATGTTTCGTTTGAGTGCAGACAAATAGCCACATAGATAGCGGCAAACAATTGCATAATGGACACGTTAAAAACTTAAAATATTGTTAATGCCTTGGTAAAGAGACCATAATCCATAATTAAGGAACTTCAGAACCTTGCACACGCCATAACCCATAACCCACCAGTGCGCAATTTAGCAAAATACAGTGCAAAGCAGAAGAGAGAGAGAGAGACTGAGAGATGAGAGGACGGACCGGGCGACTTTGCCAACTGAGAACGCCATTGATGAAGATGGCAGCGGCGACGGACAAGGGGATGCCACACCCGATCGCACGAAACCCTGAAACANACAAGGGGATGCCACACCCGATCGCACGAAACCCTGAAACATATATTAGCAAAAGTGCTCGATCGATAAGATAATTAATAGAGCGATCGACGATAAACATTAARGAGAATAAAAAATAAAAAATCGCAGAGAAGGGAACCTTCGAAGGTCTCCCATGGATAAATAAGCCCATCTTTGTTTCTGTCGAAGAAGGCAACGTGCTTCTGGAGAGCAGTCTGATCGCCATTAATGGCCTCCCCGCCATTAACACCTGCAATGCTTTGCAGGCATTAATTAACCTTAAAAAAATAGGAGTAAAGACTATAAAATTAAACACAAAAATGAATAGAGAAAAAGAAGGTGAACTCGCTTCGTGTGTTAGCAGAGTTTGCTTTGGACCCAGTAGAGGGATTGGCAATGAATGCTTTATCTTTATTATTAAGGGAGAGATTGATGGAGAGATGAAAGGGCTTAGAAAACAAACAAGAGTATAAGTAAGGAGGAACAGAGCAAGAGGAAACGTTAAATCCAGGTAGGAACATTTTTAATATATTTCTTCGCTTAGAATCTAGACACTGCCCTTTCTTCATGTTCTCTTTCTGGTTGTGTTATACCAGAGCAATGAAGAAGAATTGAAGAGGGTACTACTACTACGTGTACGAAGCAAAAAATCCGTAAAAGGAAAGAGTGATGTACGTGTTACTTTTTCTGCCTACAATATATCATAAAAGATAGATTGTCAGCGTGTCACCTGTCGATGGTGTTGGGCATTATATGTATCGAATGGAATCGAGATTGGTTTTACCATCTTTCTGAACCAACAAATTATCTCTTTTACCATAAAAATTTATTTTTTTTTCACGTATTATATAAGATTATCTAAACAATTGGTTCGATTTTGATTTGGTATTTTGAAAAAAAAAGGAAGGTACCAGTTCAGTTTCTATTTTATCATTACGAAAAACTGATAATTAACCGAATTAATTAACCGGTATAATTTATTCTAATATATTTATAATTAATAAGTCATATATTATATTATGTTATATATTTCTAATATTTATATTATAATTTTATATATTTATTTATAATATATTATAAATATAAAAAAGCAAGAAACCAAAGAACAAAACCAATCAACCTAATTGATTGGTTTCAGTTCGAAATTTTGCAAAAACTAAGGCCCCGTTTGGCTCAAACCAGTGGATCAATTCTCATTCGGAACGGAATGAAAAAACCCCTCTAGAAATGCGATTCCCCAAAGTGAAAAAAGTGACTTCTCAGAAATGCAATCTTCGAGTTCGCGTTGCACCATGGGTGTATTGGACGAATGATCCCATGAATCAAAGTCGTCCACGTTGATCAGAAGGAATGCGTAAGTTAACATTTCAAATCCCATTAAGCGGATTCGATGGTTCAACCGGTCGCAAAATGAAAAAATGACTTTTTCTTAAAGACTGAACCTTACACACACACCAGCGACTATACAACAGTGAGTGATCCGAAGCAGCGGCCGTCGGTGGCGATGGTGAGAGCTCCAGTGGTACGTTTCTTTCTTCTTCTTCTACTAATAGCCCCTCTATAAATCGTATTCTGCACATAAATTTAGAATCAATCTACGAGCAGGATTAAATTTACCCTAGAAATCTTAGCTCCACCCTAGGGGTGGACTGAACTATAAAAATCCCTTCTATACCTCTTCATGGCCGGGCTCGAGTTTGATACAAACAGCATATATAAATTGCGTACCAAAATAGCTTCTTTGTATAGTGGCAAGTCTGTCAACTTGGAAGAGGAAAGGGCTGCTATACAGAGGAACGTGCAGTCTTCATTTAACAATTAACAGGTCTATCCACTTAAAAGGGGAAAGGGCTGTTATACAGAAGGACAAGTTGGTCTTTCTACAACCTCAAGACCAACTCTTCTTCTCTTGTCACTATGCCAAAGCCATATGGATGCTAACGCATATAGGAATAAACCCAGAATCCATACAGAACCTGCATCTCCCACAATTCATCTCCACATGGTTGTCAGTCAAATTATGCAATCTAACTAAAGATACCAAACAATTCTATTTTGCAAAGCTCCTCATCATTTTTCGTCTTATCTGGGACATAAGAAATGTTAAGCAGCATGGTCAACCCATTCTTCACCCAACTCAGCTGTTAGAAAAAGCTGAAACCGACCTCAGTCCAGAGACAATCCATCCTCCCAACAGAACTATCCACAACTTTCATTCATGGGGAAATCCTCCCCATATTTTATTCACTGATGGAGCCTACATGCTTGTTACATGGACTGTTGCAATAGGATTCATTTTATTATCTAAAGATCTAATTGTTATTTCTGCAGAAGGTCGAAGAGTCTTCGCCACATCTGCTGCCCAAGCTGAATGGTGGGGCTCTGATTTTGTGATTCAGCAGTTGTAACTTGTAAATACAGTTAATCAGATTACTACAGCTGACCGGGAGACAAAACATCTCATGGATCAGACAATGAACCTGCTGATGTCTTTTGATCATATATGTATTAAGCATATGAGTATCTAACTCTGCTTCTCATGATATTGCTTACAAAGCTTGCAAGTTTAACATTGTAACCACTACTAACGGCAGCAGGAAAACAAACATAA